TTGGGGGCCGCTATGGGGGTGTGGGTGGGGTTATTAGGGGTTTTGGATCCCAAAAACAAAACAAAAAAAAAGTGCGGGGTGCCGATGTCCCCCGACTGGTAGGTGCCGACCAGTCAAGGGCCGCCGATCGTTGGCGGGTCCAACACTGCTCTTCGTCAATAGTTCTATGGGTGTGTACGACTCGGCCATTGGGCAGGTGTTTGTCACTGAATGGCATTTGACAGATTCCCGTCCCTCATAACTGCCAAAACCATGTACAGCTCTGGCTGCTTAGGCTGGAGAGTAGGAGATTTTGCTTACTGTTGGTAAGGGCAGACTCAGAAGAGGGCAGTGAATGTCACTTTGCAAGTCACCCACTTGGCTTTTTCGTGTGGTGTACCACGACAGGCATTTCAGTTACGATTTCTCTCTCTTCTCTATCTCTCTCTTTTTTTTTTTTTCCGGAGCTTGTCTTCAAACATCACATGTGTGGGGATTCTGGCCTTGGCAGGGCTCCACCAGGGGCCGTCCAGAAAAATTAGGCCCGACTCCAAGCGAAGGCCATGGCATAAGGAAAATCCACCAGCCCTGAGTGAACGCTGGCGTGATACAGTTGGGAAGGAAGTCTGGGTGCAGGCTGACAAAAAGGAGGAGGCTGCAGCATCCACACATTCGGACGCACTGGCTGCCTGTGCTAGCTCTGTGGGGAGTGCATGTGACCAGGCCAGCACTCGTTGACGAAGAAAGGGAGGAGCAGCCATGGTCAGCTGTTCTGCCAGCGGCAGCCATAGCCGCGCTGTGAGGAAGTGAGGTAGCGCTAGGGCTGGGGTGATCAAGGGAGAAGGACAGTGGTGGGAACAGGCGGACTCTGCAGCATTGCTATGTGAGAGAAGAGTGGACAGCAAGAGAGAAAGTGTGACGGAGAGAAGTAGGATGTGTGTAGAGAGAAAGAGTTTGGTTGTGTTGATGAGTGGAGTCGAGAAGTTGGGGTTTTCTTTATCAAATGACTTCAGTGTCAGTGTGTTCTCATTTGGAGTGCACTTGTCTTCATCATAATTCTGCTTTCGACTTTGCTTATATTACAAACAACAACACAGCCCCTTCTATTCTGGGGGCAGCAGTCCGGTTGCCTATTACCGGCAGGCATGCGAGGATCGATTAAGAGAAAGTATCTGGTAGCAAGTGGAGAGCCCTAGATGGTCTGCCGGTTTTAACATCCCTCCCTCCAGCTGGAGAGGGGAGACTCCCTATGGTACTCAGTCACCGCAACAGTTACCCCGCCTGAGAAACCTGGACTCGCAACAGTCATCTCTTGTCCCTAAGCACGGTGACCGGGTATCTCTGCACCTCCTCGAACACCACCCCTCCACTCTGCCTTTTGTAACATTCAGGATCCAGACCTCCTGGACATGTGAATGGCTAGGTTCATGATCTGTACTGGTATGTGGAGACATCCAGATATTGTTCCCTTCACCCATTGTTTCTCCTTTCCTTCCCTCATCTCTCTCCCCTTCGCCCCTCTACCGGGCAATGTGGCCTTGCCTCTCTTGTCACAACTTCAGCCCAGATACTCTCTCACACTGGCGATCTTTGAAGTTTGGTCGCAAGGTGCGGCAACCCCCGGACACTAAGCGGAGTTGTCTGTATGTCTTGGAATGAAATCTGCACTGTGCAGATGCATAGACGTCTTCCCCATTACAGATGAGATTGTCAGTGATCTCCTATTACTAGGTCCCTTTCGGGTTTTAGGCAGGTACTATGGGTCCTCCGACTTCCAATAGGTATATCAAAATCCCCCCCCGGTAAGGGATATGTAGGATATCTGTCATATCAAAGGGCCAGGTCGAAAAGGTGGGTCGCTCACACGACCAAAGCCTGTCAGTTCAATCAATTTGTGTCCTCGTGCATTTTGTGCGAGTGACTGCTGCTTGATCTTTTGCATGGCGAATGAACATGCATGCCTCACATCATCACATGGGGTTCTTTTCCTTGGAATGTTGTTTGTAATGTACCTATATCTGCAGGCCGTGTTTTCAAAGAAGTGGAGCTAAGCGAACCCATCCGTTATGCGCAGGGTGACCCAATCGAGGCATGGCTGCATGAGCTGCTCTGTCTTGATGCAGCAAATCACATTCCACGAATCAGTGGCAGGTAAGCTGTCTAGCAATTCGAGCGAAAAATAAAAAGGAGGAAGGAAATAATTTGTAGCCGACCTCGGCAAGAAGATATCATCCACATGGAGCTGTAAATAAAAAGATTGTGTGTTCATAATGTCAAATCCTGATGTTACGGGCTGTCTCCCTTTCAGAATGAAGGGAAAAAAAGGCAGAAGATACCAAAAAGGACAACTCCTTGAACTATTCACAGCCCTTAGGCTGCAGTCTATAGCAGTGGCCTTGTCTGTGGCAAGGTGCTTGCAATTTTCATCTTGCCCCGAAAGGGGTTTCACAAAATTGGTGACCGATAGTTGCTCGTTTTTGGAACGACTCACAGCTAGAATCGCTAGGACTTGTTGGTTGTGGGCAGTGAAGAACGGGTCTGTCTTACGTCGGAGCTAACCTACCTTGTGTTCTTGTATGCCTCGGTGATGATTGGCATGTGATTCTGGTCGGCCTGGACTACTGGACCATTGTGGGGGCCGAGTCTGGTCATGGCAGCCATATTTGTCGCATTTGTGTGAGAATGTATTTGTGTGCACAGGCGTGTGTATGTGCGTGAAGTCCTTTCAGTTTATACTTCTTTTGTTTTATGGATGGTTTGTGATGGCTTGTAGATGGAATGAGAGAGAAAGTTTGGGGTTCTTGATAACGCACACACGTACACACGCCTGTGCACACACACATGCATGCACACATGCTCGCACGGACACACACGACACCCTCCAACACACCAGCCACCTGCACACACAAAGCGTACATGCAGAGTCGTTGCAGACATATGAACTCGTCTGATTTTTCTCCCTGTCCTTCTGCAGGTCTATCTTTCTCTGTGCTTGATGCCGATCTGATGACTTATTTAACTGTCAGGATTCTGCTGAACTCATCTGATTACTTTTTGAATGAAATTCAATGAATATATATTGTTACATAACTATGAAGTTTAGTATGAACTAAAAGAGCGCACTTTGCGAAACAAACGGCAAAAATAAAAAATTCAAAAAACAAGACAAACATGAAGGGCACACTGAAACCATTCATTTTTCTCATTTTGACTCCCCCTATATAGATATATATATATAGTCAAACAGAGCTGCCCGGTAAACCGTAGGCAGAGAGGGAAAAGAGGACAACAAACGAGGGGCTGTGGCAAACTGTTTCATCAGAGTTTCACCGACTCATCAGGAGGCTGAACCCTCAACAGTCTGCAGAATCCCCTAACTGATTACACTGTAAGTGATAATCCACCTTAACCACGGCTGTGGTTAAGCATCAACGACTGCCCGACAACTGATACCCTGAGGTGGGCATATATATATATATATATCCTCTTCTCTCTCTCTGCCTACGGTTTACCGGGCAGTTCTGTTTGTGACGATATATATATTTTCCATCTGGTGTGGGTGAGTGATAGTCTACTTTGATTTTGGTTAAGGT